GCCGTCACCGGCGGCGCCGCTGTGAGGCTTGCCAGACGACGCTGCAGCCGTGGACGAACGGGGCCCTCGCGCGGGGTGACCGCGTGACAAGGAGCGCGTGCTGGAGCGACGGGAACGCTGGTTCTGTGCCCTGCTGTTTGGAAAAGTGCGTTACACTGACGATGTGTTTTACCATGTGATCGGTGCGGGTCATTTCAGCGGGGCGCCTTACTGGCCTCGACATGATTTGCTTTCAAATACTGCAATGGCAAATCGTTGCGTTGGCTCGTCCACGTCACAGGCGCAGCGCAGGGGGCAGAGCGCTAACGCAAAGCAACCACCGCCTGTCTCTGAGCGGCTGGGCTTGTGCGTCGTGACCGTGCGGACCCGGCGCGTTGTGAGCGGTCGGTCTGTCCGCCGGGCCGAAGCGTTTACCCTATTGACCCGGTGGGGGCCGGCTCGTGACCGGCGGCCCCCGTTACCGTGCGGCTCATGTGTCACGCGCGACGACGGCCGTCTTGGGGAGGCCGCCAGCTGCACACAGTTGCGGGGCGCCGTGGCGCCGTCGTGGCGCTTTACACCCACGGTCGGCAGCCCTAAACGGAGGCCGGTTGCGCTGGTGGGGGTCGTCATTCTACAGCGCGCCGAGGCCACCCCGGGCGGACGGAACTGCCTTGTGCGGGGGGCACCCAGCTCCGGTCCGCTCTGGTGGGTGGGTGGTCTGACTGGGTGGCTTCCCAGCTCCGCGCGGCTCGCGACGAACACGGATGGGTGGGTGGTTCCGCTGATGTCGGGCAGCGCCAGACCCAGATGCCGCCTCCGGCTGCGGAGGACCGAGCTCTGTGACCTGCCGGAGACGGCATCCGTCCCGCCCCGGCGCCACCTGTCCGGCTGCTGTCCCGCTCGGAGGCGGGGCGGAGCTGCTTTCCATCGTAGAACAAGACATCATGACCTATTTACTCATTTCATGCGAATACGGGAATTAAGTACAGTTTGTGAAAGATCAAAGCGAAGTTGCTGATGCTCACTGCGTTTGCTCAGTGGCTCAGCCGGGTTTTTCTCAGCAACCTGGACGATGCTGCTGATTTTAAGCGGACTGTTATAATAAACATCAGGAGTGCATCCAGTATTTTCTTAAGGGGGGCGGGAGGGGCTCGGTAGGTGCGCATCACGCCGGTTTTTAGCTTCCTGTCGGGAGCCACCTTTGGTGAAATACGAAACAAAAAATCCGGCGCCGTGGCGGGGGTGGGAGAGGGGGCGGGCGCCCCTTTCCCCTTCGCTGCCGTCCGTGCACCCGTGACTCAGTGTGGACAGTCGCGAGACACTCCAGCGTCTGGCGTCGATCGCAGGCCTTCGTCGGCCGTCGGCAGCGAGCCTCACAGGCGGCTGGGGCGTAGCGCAGGAGCTCATCAGCCGCGGAGCGCCGGCAGGGCGCCTGGGCTCCGGTCTCGCGGCCAGGCGCGGACCGTTCGCATGGGGCGATGACGGGCGCCATCTCAATCACCCAAATGCGGAGTGACTTGGCTGGGTCGGGGAACATTGTTTGTCTGTTTTCGCAACAACTGAGAGTCGCTACGTTGCGGCCCAGAGGTGGACGTTCTTCAGTAATGGGGAGTATTGGGATTGAAAGTGGGTCTCCTGTGCACAACACCCGTAGGCCCCGCCCTGAAGTTGAGGAACACGAGGGAGGCTTACGCTCCTCCGAATATGTGGAAAATTCTTAATGGCGTTTCAAGAGCAGTTTGTGTTCCTTGCGTACCCTTTTCCGAAAGCCTCGTCGCACTGTGCTGATCAGTGATCGGGTCACTGACACTGCACTGGTCAGTGCCCATGTCATTGCCACCGTGCCGAGGCCCCGCGTCGACAGGTGTTGGCGTTGTAAACGGTCGGCAGAGTGCGTTCAACTCGCGACGCTACCCAGGAGTCCGCTTCGGCCAGAAAAGTGCCGCACAGCTCACTACACTAGGCAATCGCACAGCAGGTGCCCACTTGACAACATGCTGCAGAGTTGAAGTAATGGGACATAAGTTGAAGGGAGTGTTCCACATTTGTATGGCGTTTTGAACTGAAATAGCCATCTTGAGGACCTTTTGATGCAGTTCAGGGCCATGTCCTTTTTAAGATCCAAAACGATCTGGTTCCTGAGTTACACGCCCACAAAAGTGCGAAAAGGTTTATTTGGGGCCTATTTCAAAGTTGCCTCGGCATTAATGACGTCATAGAAACGTCTTGCGATCGCGGTCATACTACAGGCTATTTCCTGCTCATGGTCAAAACAGCATGGCCGCTGATACATTCGCGAAAGCGATGATGCGGCACGTATGATGCAACGCGCGGAAGATGACTGGCTGTGAGCAAGATTTCGCTGCCGAATGCGTGTCGCGAACGTAAGCGTGAGCACTCTGGGGTTGTGCGGCACTAGTCGTGAACGGGCCATTTTTCCTTATTTCTAGGCCACAGGTCAATGTTATAAAAACAACGCCACTCTCTGCAAAAAAGGTGCGACACCCCAAAAACAGGCACTCTCCCGAAAGCTATGAAAAGAAGACGCGACGGCAAATCTATCTTTTTCCCCTGCTGGCGTTTTTTTACTTCTTGAAGAAACTTCTTGAGCCGCATTACTATGAACCCCCGTTGGGACTTTTTGAAGGGAGGTCACGGTGAAATGCGGTGACTGAAAATTTGCGAGAAAACCTGCAATTTGATAGTTCCGCGAGCTGTGCAAGCGTGAGATCACACTTATTTGACAAAAGAGCGTGAATCGGTGGGTTGAAATAAGTGTGATCACTGGTAGTGTGTGCCAGTGGCTTGATATTGATATGATGGGAAGTGTGCATGCGGAGTTTTTACTTCTTAGAGAGAGCATTGTTTTGGTATTCTTTAAGTCTACTGACTCCCAATAAAATGTGATATATTGATACCTGTCTCTACCTTTATGTTTGTGTGTGAACATGACAAAGGAATGCTGGCAAATTAAGAGAAGCACAAGCATTTATGTTACAGGGGTGTACAAAGGCAAGCTGGTGCTTCATTATGATCTTGCCAACATTTTGAACCTGTTGAGGTATTACAGCATTTGATTAATCCATTGTGTGTCATTATATCAGCAATTCATTCTGGCAGTAGGGGCTGGTGTGTACAGCTCATTAATGCACATGCTCAGTATAGGCTCACATTATATGGCTTGTGAAATTGTCTCCCTAGATAATTTTGAAAACTTGGAGCTGCATTATTACGGATGCATATTGCATTGTTTTCACAAATTTCGTATACAGGCGAGCGTTGCTCGTGAGTCATCAATGGCGTAGTCACTGCAACTTGCGTGAGATGCTGAGTGCTGAGAAAGGTGGAAAAGTGTTGCTGTTGATGTCTCGGATAACACTTTATAATATGTTTGTCATGAGCCTTGTGTGCACTGGCAGCTTCATCACTTCCTGGCACTTTGCCCATCCAACTATAACTACATGCACTTGTCATGTTTTCAGCCTTGTGCAAGGTCGGCATTTTTGCAGTGTTATGTCACATGTAAAATTTTCCTGTTATTTCTTAGTAAAGCAGCCTGATGGCTGCGGCATGTTGCATGACTGTGGAAGTGGAAGATGTGTTTGCATCTTTCTCACCTACGCTTTGAGGATTCCCAAAACAGGCTGAGCAAGTGATGCTTCTTATTGGTTGTCTGCTTTGCTGAAAGTGATGTGTATACTGTATCATATGTTTCTGGCCAGTCATATGTCAGATGGGGAGTCAATACAAGAGAGGACACTTGAGCCATCTTTTCATGATGGAATTTATTATGAAAGCAGCATGGATTGCAGTACAAAAACCATGTGATTGTTCATTGTGTCATGCCACAGTACAGCGCTGAGGTAGTGCCACAGCTATTGGCCTGTGCCATTACACAATGTATCACATTGATTGTCTACTCCGTCGATCCTATGGGGCAGCAGTTTGCAATTTATGAATGACTGGTAACAACTGATTTAATAATGCCAAAGGACTGTCAACAGCAAGAATGTCATTACACCACAATAGTTATATTAGGGTTAGCTATAAATTGCATAAATGATCCTAAGCAAAAAAGCCTTCTTGGTCGTCCAACCGTACCATCTTTACCATAGCAATAGCAATACGATGGCAATCAATTTATAGTAACGTTACAAATTTATTCATTTTCGCATGGCACCGCATTTCCAGGTACACACAGTGAAGAAAGTAACTTCTGTGCACATCGCATGATATCAATGTCAGTACTACAGTACTGCAGACAACGATGGGTCGACAATAAAGTATTGACAAAATCATCAACAGCACAGCAGCAGCACAGCATATCGTGCTTTGATATGAATAAACTGCCTTAAAAGCTGGCGATCGCTACGTTGTGCATGTCAAACAGTCCACCAAAGCTTTTCTTCCGGCCAGCACCAAGACAAAAAATCCACAAACAAACCACCCACTAATCCGCCACTCGATACAGCCCCCGCGACGTTTCGTGTGTTTCGGGGCATTCTTAAGGTCTGGCTGTCAGGTGCTGCCAGGTATTACTGTCGTCACAAAACCATTCTATGACGCCATCAAACAATGACGTAATGGGGCGCATTTTTACAAACTTTGAAATGTTGCCACTTCGCGTCGTTTTTGAACCTTGAAATTTTACCAATAGTTTCAACTAAGCTTTTCCCATCACATCTGATGCATACCTCAATATCTTCAAATGTGGAACATTCCCTTCAAGACCTTGCAAAAGCGGCCGAGCATGCCGAACGTCCCCTATTGTCGACGACGTTGAAGAAGTGTTGATTTTTGCCTGCCGGATGGGAAGCGCTGCCGAACTTTCGGCGAGCGTCGCCGCGTGCGGAGGCGCGGTGTCATGCCGCGCCCTCCTGGAGACCGCGGATGAGCTCCCAGCGCGTGTCGCGGCATGGAGAGGGGGAGGGAGGAACAGTGTCACCTCTCGGCCCAGCACGGCGCGTCTTTCGGTCTTCACGCCCGTCCGATCTAATCAACCTGTGCTGCCGTTTCAGAAGACGACGTGCTCAGTAATTACTTCTCACGCAAGGGCAAAAAGTACGGCCTGCTGAGCCTGTTCAATTACGCCAAAGACGGTCTGCTACCAGTGCGCAACAAGAAGTCCTACTAATGAGCCGCGTTCGTCGCCCCGCGTGGCACGATGTGGCCTCCAGCCGAGCGGCGCTGACACCAGCGCGCCGCGCATTCGTTTAGAGGGACACCTGCCGTCCGCACTCAGTGAGAGGCCAGCTCTGCGCGCCGCGGCGGGCCGGTGAGCTCCCGCCGCCGCGTCGACCGGCGGCGTCGCCGCCGCGGCCGGAGTCAGCCCGTGTCAACTGAGGTCGATCACCACTGGTGTCGGGCCGAAGGTTTTTGTGCGCGCCGTTGGCCGACGGCGGCTTGTCAGTAGACCGCACGCGCCAGCTGACGCCCGGTCCCGCCGGCGGGACACCTGCCGTCCAGCCAAACCTGCTAACAGCCGATGGCGGGGCGGCGCCCAGCGCTGGCGGCAGTATTTGTACGAATGTGACCTGATTTGACCTCTGTGATCGCGCGTGACATTCATCTGCGTGCTTTAGTGCCAGTCACTGTGTCCGGCGCGGGCGAGTGTCCGTACAATTACACCGCCCCGTGACTGTGCCGTGCCTGCGCGTTACCGCGCTCGGTCGGGCGTCGGCGCGCGCCCGCCGCCAGTGCACCCCTGTCTCGGATGTCTCGTCGCGTCGGACGCGAGCGCCGTGCCGCGTTGACATCGATACAGTCGGCCATGGTGTCGCGGCTGGGCGGCGGAGTGGGCGTCGCTGCCGCCGGAGGACGGCCGCGGGTCCGGCTCTGCGGCGCCACGCGCCCGTGGATGGCCGCCGGCGCTCGCGCCGCGCCCGCCCGCGGCCTGTTTGTCGTGGAATGAGTCTGCCGGCTGCCGGAGATTTGGAGGATGGGGTCTGCCTTCGGGGATTTGGGTGATGGCGGCGGTTTTTATCCGGCGTACGTTTGAATTATGCATCGGAGGTGCATATTACCTGTGAATAATGCAGCAGACGGCGATGTTGTGTGGGCGAACTCGCCTGGTGGTTTGGGATAATTCTGTATTGCCGTGTGCAAACTGCTGATTTGTTTTTGAGACTCCGGAGGGCAACGGCTGCTCGTAACACTGCTCTGCTCGTGATCAGGGATGTGATCAGCGAACGATGAACATCATCAAATATACGGTTAAATACAGCCTGTGTTTTAGACAGTTTGAGGCATAGAGCCTTAGTCGCCTGCAACCACCACTGCCTCCTGTTACCATTGCTATCTAGTCCCTTTGTAGCCTCCAGAGTAACCTGCAGCCGTGATGATCAGACCAAGTGTGAAGTGCTGGTCGTCGTGCGGCGAGACGCAGCAGTCGCCATGCCTGCCACATCCGCCGCAACGGTCACTCATCTCAGGGTAATGTGGCGTACAGCTGAGCCGTTTGAGCAGCTGCTCTGCGCTGTTGGTCTGCTCGAGCAGCTGCTCGGCGCTCTTGGCCTGCTGTAGCAGCTGCTCTGCGCTGTTGGTCTGCTCGAGCAGCTGCTCGGCGCTCTTGGCCTGCTGTAGCAGCTGCTCGGCGCTGTTGGTCTGCTCGAGCAGCTGCTCGGCGCTCTTGGCCTGCTGTAGCAGCTGCTCGGCGCTGTTGGTCGTGCATGCTGGATTTCAGAGGTTCAATCTGTGGTCACCTCGAGAGTCGTGGTCAGACTGGCCCCGGCGGCCGTCGTAGGCCTACGGCTACGGTCTGACAGCGTCGCGTCTGACCCACAGCGTCTGACCTACGGCGGCGGCGGCCGCCGTAGGTCAAACGCTGTGGGTGTTGTTTTCGTGGTTCTTTGCTATGCGCCGATTTGTCGCTTGAGCACTCACTAATAGATGCTGAGCTTCGAATGGTGAAAGCCTAAAACTGCTTTTAAAGAGAAGTGGTTTAGCTACACAGACAATTGCACTGGTAACGATATTTGGATCTAAGGGCGCTCCTACTGCACCCGTCATTTTATGCCTTGCCCAAGCAGTTCTAAAAAGAGCGCTGCTAGGCAAAATCGAGCTTGGAACATGTACGCATGCACATTCATCGCCATGGGTGCATACTTACGTGCAGGCGTGCATGCGTATGCGCGTGCGGGTATGGGTGGGGGTGCAAAGGCGGTTGAGTAGGTTTGTTGCTCGTGATGGATGGGGGTGGGGTTTCTGTGTGCGTGTGTGGGTGCATGTTTGCGAGCGTGCACCTTAGGCATGCTTTAAGATATTGGGCTTAGATATAGTCAATGTAAACAATATAATTTTAACAAGCTTGTTGGTATGAAACTGCAGCTTTCGAGATAATCTCTATGCCTTCTTCAGGCCTAGTCAGAAAACGACACCAAAAACAGATTCAGGCACGCAGTTTTCATAATGCGTCATTTGCTGCTGTTACACACACGCAGAAACCGCATGTCGACCGGCTGATTGCTATTGACCGGTAGCTGTCGGGATGATATTTATCTCTTCCTCAGCCTTTGTCAAACAATGATATGAGAAACAGATTCGGGCACGCATTAAGCAGTAAATAAAGTTGATGCCTGAATCCGTTTTCATGTATCAGTATCAGTGTCAGCATGTTGGAGACCATCCACATGGTGGCTTTTACAGTTTCAGGTCAAGGTCATTTTCATGCTACATACGTTTGCAGTATGAATAGGCACACACGACAGGTATACGACAGAATGCTAGGGGCAATGGTACACTACAATTATAAGAGCAGTGGTTTGCACGATGGGCAGTGATCAGTGCTCAGTGGACGAAAATTGCATTATGTATGGCGGTCTTAAACGTGCTTAATGTTGTGGTATCACAGACGTGCGATGACGGGTGGTTCCAGGCAGCTGCGGCTCGACGCGAAAACACTCCCAGCGTGGCGGTCAATCGGTGTCTGTGCAGGCGCAGACTTCCTCTTTCGGAGGCGCGCGTCTTGCGGGTGGAAACAGCGGCGCATGGGACAAAAAATGCACGGACCTCATGACCCGCGGTTACCGCCTTCAGTGCCGTAAACGCTTTGATCACGCCATGACGCACCACTATGACCTTGATCCCTGGCTGTCCCAAGGAATTAAAAGCCGGAATTATGATGGTGCTTTTTGGAGCCGGTAATAACTCTTGCAGCAGTTAATTACTTTTTGAATTTTGTGTAGTCGAATCTTGGTCACCCACCTCACACACACAAGCTATACGTGATATGAGGGAACACGCACGCCTGAATGATGATTTTGAGAAGATCTGAAGTGAAGTAATGACGAAACTTGCACCGAGGATGCCATTGCATGTTTTCACGCCACAGACATGGGTGCCCCATGACAGGTCGTAGTCAGCCATGACTCATGAGAGAGACTGAGACTGACTCACATGAGAATTTGGATGAAAACCTGAGGCATGCACAGACGAACCGCTTACTTCAAAGCGGAAGTCAGCTCGCTGTTTTAAATTTTCCTTTTACCCAGCGAGCATAAAAACAGTTTTTGTTTAGTTCATTTGGAGAAAACTGGCATGAAACCAGTTCTGAAGCTCATGCATGGTAAGTTTCAGTCTGGTTTCGAGGTCGGCAATACCCGGTCCGTCAGGAGCGCGCAGTCCACTTGCATGATGTCGTCAGCGCAGCAGATGAGGTTATATATAAATCAGCAGGCCATAAATCAAGTATCTGTATAGATCGTTGGTTAACAAAATGAGCAAAACTGAACCGATGATTGAGCCCTGGGGTACACTGCATGACATGGGGAGAGTGAGCCGTCTTTCACGCACCAGCTGCCCTCGATCACTCAAATAACTCCTAAACCATCCCACATCAGTAGCGTCATACCAAGACAGCTTGCTGAGGAAGACGTCGTGGTCCACGTTGTCAAGCACCTTTGACAAATCGATCGTCGTTGCCGACGATATAAGACCGTCGTCGGTGTTGGTGACCAGGCACTCGGCTGCGGCGAGCACGACATCCTCGGTCGATTGGCGCGGCCTACAGGCATACCGGGATGGATGCAGCTGTGCTGCCGCATCCAACTTTTACAATTTTTCATGTTGTTGTCTTACCCAAGTTGATGAAGGGATAGAGAAAATCCCCAAATCCATCGTTCAATAAAAACAAGCTGATTGAAATATTATCTTTTTACAAAATTGTGTATGTTCTACATATCACTCACAGCTTGAGAACTAGGTATCTAAGCAACGATTTTAAGACTCGCTGTGTTTTGATGTTCAATTTGCAGGTAATGTAACTTTTATTTTCGTTTCATACCTGTATCACAATGCTGCAAGACGCTGACAGAAATGCGCAGAGCACGTAAATACGCTGGTAAAATGCTGATTCCCCTGTCTAAGTCTCATAATATTGAATGAACTTATCTATCGTGGTTGCGTGGCTATGAGCTACGAGCACTATGTATATATATATAAGAAACATTATGTGTATATATAATGCTCTCCTCATATATATATATATATATATATATATATATATATATATATATATATATATATATATCTCTCTCTCTCTCTCTCTCTCTCTCTCTCTCTCTCTCTCTCTCTCCCTCCTCCTCTCTCTCTCTCTCTCTCTCTCTCTCTCTCTCTCTCTCTCTCTCTCTTTCTCTCTTTCTCTCTTTCTCCTTCTCCTTCTTTCAATGTACACCTTGTAAACGCTCCACTGTATATCCTTCAGCGTGGCTGTCGTCCATTCTGTAAAAAATATATCGCCTCTGTCAGCACCATAGTACGAACACATGTTCCGATAATTACATCGTTACGCTGTGATTCGTCCACAATGGCTTTAAGCATAGCAGTGTTGGTTGTGCCATAACGTTTTATCTTGGTTCTGGCATTAGCAGAGCACTGCGGGATCCACTGGACTCCGGAGCCACTGAAATTGGCCCAACCATTCCCGGGAGATTGCCAATCCGGCGTAAATTGATACCATAGCGCGTGGAATTGACCACGCACTCACAGAGGCGTATAACATAATTCAGGATTCAGCTGTGTCGGCTGCTGCCCCAGAGTAGCTCAGCCTTGGACGATGGCTTTGAACTCCCCTGCAAGCGGGTGCGGCAGAAAAGAGACTAAGATAGCCACCCATTGTGTCTAATATTTCTTGCTTCGGATTCGTTTGATGTGCGGAACACTGATCGTCCCCATTATGTACAACATGTGCATTATTAGCGAAGCCCCGTCTCATCCTAAGGCTTGACATGTCCCCGCGTCAGTTGGCCTTGAGACGAGGAGTTTTTACGTTGCCTGCACCTAACGCAGATGGGCGAGTTCACTTGAGATCCTACGGGGCTTCTGCTGAGTCCTGTTGGAACGCCGCCAGTGCTCGCATGCAGACGCGTGTCCATTGACGTAACGATCTGCTTTGGTCATATTTTGCGATATCTCTACTCACAGGGAACACGAGGGGCGGAGGATGCTGCGATCAGTGTCGAGAAACCATCATCTTCAACTCCATGTCAGTTTAGAGTTTGGTTCGGTCGGTTTTAGACTTTGATGACTCGATTTCCAAAGCCCGGAGACGTTTTTTAAGCGAACGCGAATCCTGAAGCCAGTGGAATGCACTTGAGCACTTGTCTGGAAACTTGTACTGGTCCTGGTCTGCTGGTACTAGAAACTGGTCCACTGGTACGGGAACGTCACTTTCTAAAGTCGGTTGGATAGGCTCAGTCGAAAAGGTTGACCTAATCTATCCCAAAGCCTGATTTTTCCTCGGATTCCGGGCAATCTACTCCCAAAACCTGATTTTCCCGGGATTCTGGCCAATCTACCCCAAAATATGATTGTTTCCTCGGATTCCGGCCACATTACACTGCGCCCTCGATGCTAAAAGACAAAAAAATATCGCACATTCAAACTTGTTTTCCTGCGGAGGGATGATTTTCCACTTCAACTTAATGCGAGCTCCGTTTTTGTGAAAAGCTTAGAACGGGGTGTAGTTAACAGAGAGACATCTTAGTAAGTCCTAGTAAACGATTACTGATCACTGCCGCTGCCACTGATCGTGTTGCATAGCCACCACAGCTACGATTGTGCGGCAAATACACCGGCCACTGTTGGGGAACAAATGCGTTAACTTTTATCTGGCCACCTTGCACTTTTAAAACCTGCTGCATATTTCAATCAATCGTTAAAGTTTGTCTCATTGAAAACACTTCGTGATTACAAATGTAGTCGAGCATCACGCTGTGCGGATGGCG